GATAAAAGGTATCTTTTCCATGTTAATCTGAGATTTTGTCTTAACTAGCCGCGACGGCGACACGCAAAATTTTGAATTTAGAAACAGTTTCTATTTCCACAACGTCGCAGCTGAAACAACAACATACAAACTATATGACAGTAGATAATCTCAGGTGATTATGTGCTTTATTCAAAGTTAAACGTGTCTAATATGAGTTTAAATATAATTTTGTGTGACCTTATAGCCATACTGAAAGCAACAACAGATAGTTTACCTCAAATCTTGAAAATAAATTAAAGCAAAGATATCCGTTAAAACTGTGAACTCACTGTGAACCAACGAGTGTATTCCATAACTAAGATGGTATCAGTCACTCAGTATGTACATTTAATGATGTTAAAAAGCTTTAATATTTATGAATTAGATTATAAACATATCCATTTCGTTGCGAGTGCAGTGCGCTTCCAGAGAGAGCCCGCCCACACACGCTTCTGATTGGCTGATATTTGATTGATTCTGTCACGTCACGTCTGGTGTGGACACTCAAATTGCTTGTCGCTGGAATCTTGTCACGTCGCGTATAGTTAGGACACGGTGTCAAGGTGGAGGGTGACAGCCTACGCTCCAAACTTTCTTGCAGGAAAGAAAGCACGACTCTAATTGAGCATCTCCAGGGGTCTTATTGGTGAGTGATACTGTCTACCACAGCTGTTGGTAGGTCCCTTAGGTTCCAGAGATCTGGATGCGGGTGCCGAAGGCTGCCCCTTCCTGGTCAAGTATGTCAGGGAGGCGGCTAAAGAGGAGAAGTTAGGGATGAAGCAGCGATCCTCCGGAGCTCCGAGAGCACCCTCCGCAACCGGTCCAGGTGGTTTTCCCATGCCTCGGAGTGGATTACGACGTCGTCCAGGTAGGCGGCGGCGTAGGCCTGATGGGGCCGCAACAGAATGTCCATCATCCGCTGGAACGTTGCGGGTGCCCCGTGGAGGCCAAAGGGAAGGGTCCGGTACTGCCAGTGGCCAATGGGGGTAGAAAAAGCAGTCTTAGGTTTAGCGTTCTCAGAGAGGGGTACCTGCCAGTAGGCTTTGGTGAGGTCCAATGTTGAGATATACCGGGCCCTTCCCAGCCGGTCCAACAGCTCATCCACCCGAGGCATGGGGTATCCGTCGAACTCAGATACCTCGTTGAGGCAGCGGAAGTCATTGCAGAAGCAAAGGGTGCCATCCGGTTTCGGGACCATCACGATTGGGCTGTACCACGGGCTGCGGGATGGTTCTATCACCCCCAACTTCAGCTGAGCCGACGAGCCTCAGGGACCTAGTAGGGCCGTTGCCTGACGATGACCCCTGGCGGCGTCCGGATGTCATGTTGCAGGACGCTGGTCCGCCCGGGCAGAGCAGAGAACACATCCGAGAACTGACCGACCAGGTGCTGCAGCTCCCTCTTCTGGGCAGCCGAGAGGTGGGGGTTGACGTCAACAACCACGGGATCAGAGATGGCGAGGGCCGCGAGCTGGTCTCTAGTCCCCA